AGCCCCAGCCCACCCCCCACCTGCAGGCCGTACTTCCACAGCTGCACATTGTCAACGGTCGGCTCAGGGAACCCAAAGCCCTGGGGGTACTTGCTGCTGACGTCCTTGAAGCAGAAGTGCTGCGGCGCTCCGTCGCCGCTGCCCGCCCAGTAGGCCGTGACGACGATGGAGAAATGCTTCTGGTCCAGGCTCTTCGCGCGGCGCACCGCGTACTCGCAGGGGGTGAGGGACGCGCCCCGGATGGTGGTGGGCTCCAGGTCCTGCAGGGACGTGATGATGAAGCTGTTGCTCAGCTCGGAGGGGGACCTGCGGGTGGGGGAGCCGAGGGGCGGGTGCGGGGGCGCAGGGCGTCAGGCCGTGGCGTGCGGCAGGATACCAGGGCGTGCGGGCTGTCGAGGCGAGGCGGGGCGCCGAACATTGCTGGTGGAGGATGCTGCACCGGCGCTGAAAACGGCTACTGGGCGTGCGTCCTTGCTGGTTGGATCGCTTCCGCTCTCAGTTCACGTCCCACGGTGGCCCCGGTCCGCCCATCGCACCGGTGCTTGCCCAGAACCACTGGCACGCAGCTGCTGGCCAGGACCGCCAGCAGAATAAGCGGCCGCACAGCCCGCGGGATCATGGCTGGGTGCTGCCGCTGCGCAAGATGGGCGCGCTGCGCCTGCAAGTGATGCAGCACGGACGGCCAAAGGGTGATGCGCTCTGACGGGCAACAACGATCCGCCGCAATGCAGTTTGAATCAAGCGAGAGGGCTTTTAGTGGTGCGGTGACACAGTTTGGAGTCGCTGAACTGCGTCAGATGGTCGACTAGACACCGATGATCAACCCCGCACGGAGGTTTCGCCCCCGGTTCTGTCCGTTTTCTGAAACACGGGCGTCACAGCACCCTCTATCACTACTGGGGATTTGCGAGACAGTTTTCGGTCGGCCACAGCAGCACACAAGATGCACCGCCGACTGACGCGGCCCCCATGGCGCGCACCTCACAACCTGCTCCGTCGCGTCCAGCTGCCTGCCAACCGCACTTGCAGCGTGCTGGTGAATTTATCAGCGTTTAATAGACGCCGATGCTGCCCACACGTGGCGATGCCAGTAGAGTACACGCCCGCACGGGTCGGTCAATGGCGAGGTCAAGGTTGAACACTGCCGGAAGGTTATTGCGCGTTGTATATGTGGCTAACGTAGTTATAAATAATCTTTGTACACTCGTTATGGAGAGGCTGAGAGCAGAAGCCTGAGCACGTACGTACACAACCGGGCAGGTTGCGGGTCGCCCCTCTTGAGTGATCACTCGGATGCGAGCTGATCGAAGACAAACGAAAACAAGACTTGTACAAAATCTCGGGGAGACAGGGGCAAGGGAATGGACCTCGGGCTTTCAAACTTTGGGTACTGCGTCGGCCAACAGGTCCGGCAGCTCGGAAGAAACGCTTTGCCCCTACTGCGGCGTTACACACCGCATTACTCATCATATCCGTGGCCTTTGAAAAATCGCTCGCTTTTTGCAGCAACCCGCCGTTGGAAACGGCGTCGTACGTGCGAGGCGGTCTGTGCGTACGGGCACACTCGCGTTCAACCTACAGGTCAGCCCGCGCTGTGCACGCACGGCCACGCCCGCAAGTAAACAAGCTATTGCATTGTTTAGTTGAGATCGCGAGTGGTGATTCGCTGTTGCACTCACTGCAGGTCAGCCCTGAGCTGCAATGTACACATCAAAGCGCCTCGCTGCATGGGGCAGGACAGCGGTGCCCGCGCCAGGGTTCAAGGCGGGGCGCCTGAGTGCTGCAAGCACATGCAGTGAGAGACTGTTACATATGTTCATGTATGCATCAGACTTGTACGAAAGCTGGCGCTCTCAAACCTGCGCATGGGTTGAGTGTGGGACCTCACAGGGGTTGGAAACCACCCCAGCGCGTACGCGCGTGGGGCTCGCAGAGCGACTCCCCAGACTACCAACACAGAAGATGTGGTGTGACACGCACACGGGCCTGTGTGTACATGTATGCTCGCCCATGTGCATGCGCTTGCGTACGGCGCGTGCGCGCGTACATACGTGTGTGTGTGTACGTGCGTGCGCACTTGCATGTGTATGGAATGGGGGGGAGGGCTGTCCGAAAGACGTGGGCATGGGCCAAGGAGGCAAGGGCTAGCCTTGTGCATGAGGCTACTATCTGGGGTTTGCGAGCTTGTCCAGTCACAAGACTGTGCTGGACTGAGAGCTGAGGCTTTGGGGTTCTGGACTGTCCCACTTTTTGGATTTGGGACCTCGCCCCGCCATCGGGCACCGAAGTCGATCAGCACTACAGTACGGCCAGGAGCCCGTGCTTGGCGGAATGATACTGCTGACTTTGCGCTATACTCAGCAAAATTGTGGCACCATAATGTCCAGGACCAGAAGCCTCCTCTTTTGGGCGCACTTGTTTCTCCTGTTCACTGGAATCGTGCCAGCCTGCTCCTGCCCAAAAGCCACATGCAGGCGCAAGCAGGCACCAGTGCATGCCGAGCAGACTTCGCTTCACTTGTATTTGAGATTCTTACCTGTCATGGTTCGCATGTCACCTTACCCGCGTGACTTTTCGGGGGCCCGGGCGCGCTGCAGGGAAGTCGCAGGAGCCGGGAGAGTGCCAGGCTGGACAAGCGACTGGTCGATTTCCACATCGCCAACATCAATGCTTTGAATGCGTTGCAGCCGCCGGCACTGTCAATTTCACGTTATTATTGTGCATTGCAGTAATTCATTCACGCGCGCTCAGCACCCTCCGTTCGGTTTCTGCTCTCAGGTCAACCTGTCGTGGTGCTGGTAGCACCCCGTTCTTGCTATCACCCCCTGGCAGTGGTCACGCTGGAAAAAACACGTGCTTACGCTCAGCTCGGCTCTCCCCTTAGGACCCCGCTGGGGCATTGCAACAAGAGCATCGAGGTGAGCGCGAGCGACAAGCCGCTGTAGCTTTATGGTAATGCATGTTAGATTTATTCCACATCACTGGCCTTGGGTACCTCGGGAGGCATCGGGTTGAGGGACTCAGCAAGCAGAAACAGCCGCGATGCCCAGTCTGCAATTTGGACCTGTCGAGGCACCCCGCGCGCGAGCTTGAGTGGATCCCATGCGTGCGCCTGGCCGTGCGGCACAGTTGTGCTGTGCAGCCACGCCGCAACGAGCGGCCTGCAGCTGCACCAACAACGGACCGACCCGCACGCCGTCTCCGATGCGCCGCTCCTCCATGCCCTGCAGAATGCGCATATGTGCACTTAGAGGCAACGTTAAGAAGGTCGCTCAGGGCGTACCGGCGTGCTCGTCGGTGAAGCCGTGCAAGGTGGGGCCAAAAGGGACGGTCGCCAGAAGGACGCAGCGCACGCGCGGCAGTGTCAAGTCACTACATGGGGTTGCATGGCACTGCATGCGGCGCAGCGTTGGTTGGCTCAAGCTGAGCATGGCTCAGCACAAGGTAAACAGGCCAAGCACGCACCAAGCCTCGCCCGCCGCACCCTCGGTTGCAACCCCTTGAATGCATTCTGACATGAGCACATACTCGTCACCGCCTCCCCGCAGGGACGGCACGGCCACAAGCGATTTGGCTAACACCCGCCGCACTGGGCCCGGCGTGTTCCTCGGCAGCGATCTCTTCTAGCTTTAGAGGCACAGTCAAACGTAGCAGCGGCGGCGCGGCAGCAGCTCGCAGCCCGAACACCTAGGACACCCCCCGGCCCGGCTCGACCCAAGGACCCTCCCGACCATGTCGCCCCCAGCTGACATGATTATGGCCCTCGCACCCAGCGCCAGCGCCGGCGCCTTTGGCGCGGCCGCGTCCCCCTTCCACGATTACGCCTTCTGCGAGATCGTGGCCGGCCCCCGCGAAGGCGGCTGCGCGACGCCCTGCGCGGCGCTGGCGGACTGCTGTGGCGCCGCCTCCGATGACTGCGGCGCCGGCGCCGCCAGCAGCGGCGCGTGCTCCATGGACCACGACGCGAGCAGCGACCAGGAGCGCGCCCTCGACGCGCTGCTCGCCGCCGCCGCGTGCAAGCCTCGCGCTGATGACGACGCCGACGGCGGCCGCGCGCGCCCCGCCGCGCCCGCCTCCGTCACGTTCGCCACCCCGCCCCTCCCGCCCGCGGCGCGCGCCGTGCTCGGCGTGTACGGCGCCGCGCCCGCCGCCGCCGGCGAGCCGGCCGGCGTCATGGCCGCCGCGGCGGGCCTCATCCGTGCGTGGGGGCTGTCGGACACCTTCTACGTCTATGACTTGGGGGAGGTGGCGCGCCTGCACGCGCTGTGGGTCGCGGCGATGCCGCGCGTGGCGCCGTTCTACGCCGTCAAGTGCAACCCCGAGCCGGGGATCGTGGCGATGCTTGACGCGCTGGGCGCCGGCTTTGACTGCGCGTCGGTGCAGGAGCTTGAGCGCGCGGCGGCGCTGGGCGTGCCGCAGAGCAGGGTGATCTTTGCCAACCCCTGCAAGCGGCCGGCGGACTTCCGCTACGCCGCAGAGAAGGGGTCCGAGTGAGTAGAACACGGCGTAGAACGGGCCGGGGACGGGCGCCTGCAATCAGGCCCTTGGCCCGTGTTTGAAAGCGGCTTGCTCCGCAACACACAAATTCGTGCGCTAAGCAACAGGTCCTGCTGCACCCCTCACCGATCCTTGCTTGCAGCATCAGTCACACACCTGCTTTGATATGCAATCTGCTTATCATACCCCCCTTCCCCTCCCCAACCATGCACCAGGTATACTACGTTTGACTGTGCCTCTGAACTAGAAAAGATCGCTGCCGGTGAGGCGGGCTGCATAATGGTGCAGCTGGCTGCCTGATGCTGCTGCTGGATCCCTGCCCATACAAAGCCGCAGCCACCCCTGCAGACCTTTTCTGCCCACGCCCAAGTCCCCCTCACCCATCCCCAGTCAGCAAGCCCCGCCGGCTCCGCCCCAACCCTCCTTATCCCCCCTCCCCCGCCGTCGCCTGCAGGGTACCCGGCCTTCAAGTGTGTCCTGCGCATCAGGTGTGACGACGAGACCTGCAAGATCAACCTCGGCCTCAAGTACGGCGCCGACCCCCAGGAGGACGCGCCCCAACTGCTGGCCCTGGCCAAGAGCCTCGGACTGAAGGTGCGGCTGCGGCGCGCACGCACCCGCGCCGCCTCGCGCCCTGACGGAAAGGTCCGCGCCTGCGCCTCGGCCTTGGCAAAGCGTGTTTGTGCTGCTACGCTGCGGGGGCGTCTTCTCAACATCCATCCCTGCTGAGTCCATCAAGATCTCAACAAATATACCAACTCGAATACCCACCACCCCGACACCACCCGTGACGTCCCTGGCCAGGTGGTGGGCGTGTCGTTCCACGTCGGCAGCGGCTGCCAGAACGTGGCCGTCTACGCGGACGCCATCCGCGCCGCCCGCGCCACCTTTGACGCCGCCGAGGCCCTGGGCTTTGACGACATGCACCTGCTGGACGTGGGGGGCGGCTTCACCGCGCCATACGACGCTGAGTCAGCAGACCTCTTCTACCGCACCGCCGCCATCATCAACGGGTGCGCGGCCGCGCGCGAGGAGCGCCCCTGGCGCGGCGCCTGCGCATGGCCGACGCGCACGCGCGGGCGTGCGCGCGCGCGGTGTAGCTGTGGAAGCATCCGACACACATGTCGCCGCCGTCACCATCGCGCCGACCGCACTGTGCTGCACAAGCTATCTTTCACCTGGTGCCCCCCAGGCTGTCTGCTACTAAGAAGCCAGTCCCTCCGCCCTCCCGATGGATGTCAAATCTCACCTTCCCTTGACCCAACGACCCCCAACCCCCCATACAGGACAATCGACGAGTGCTTCCCAGCCGGCTGCGGCGTCCGCATCATCGCGGAGCCGGGCCGCTACTTTGCCGAGACCTCGGCCACACTCTTCACCACCATCCTGGGCCAGCGCGCGGCGCGGGCGGGGGCGGCGGGCGGCGCCCCTGCGCCGCGCGACTACTGGCTTAGTGACGGGACGTACGGGTCGTTCAGGATCCAGGTGTGTGCTGGTTGGTGTGTGTGCTTAGTTTGTGCACGCGCACGCGCGTGTATGTGTATGATCATGTGCATGCTTTTGTGAGTGTGCGAGTGAGTGTGTCGGAGGGTTGGGTGCACAGGAGGGTTGCCCATGCACATGTGTCCATCCCGGCCCAAGCTGTAGCAGCCTGTGCCGTCACCTTCGCACCCCCTCGCATACCCGCGCGGCCCAACCCGAACCCCAACCCTGCCCCTTTTACCGGCAGGTCGCTGTCGACGGCCTCGAGCCGACCTGCGTCCCCCTGCGCTCCCCCTTCCTGCCGCCCCCCGGCCCCGAGCTCGCCGCGCCCGGCCCCTGCCGCCTCTGGGGCGACTCTGAGCGCGACGAGGACTGCGTGCACAGGAACGCCCTCCTGCCAGCGCTGAGGGACGGCGACTGGCTGGGGTTCCCGCACGCGGGGGCCTACACCATCTGCTCTGCCTCCAAGTTTTCGGGCGGCCGCATGGCGAAACCCACCAAGCTGTTTGTGTGCTCCCAGGCGGCGACGCGTGACCTGGGCGCCTACAACGACCCCGCGCTCCGCGCCGCGGCTGCACGCGGCCTGCCGGCTGGGGCGGCGACCGAGGGCACCACGCCCGGCGCCACCGCGGCGTGCGCGGCGGAGATGCTGCAGGCGCTCAGCGTCGGCTGCGGCGCCGCGGCCCCCGCGGCGAGCTGCTGCACCGACGACGCGATGAGCGGGGACAGCGAGGGCACGGCTGCCCTGAGCGCGGCCAGCAACGAGGACGGCGGGGGCGGCGACGGCGGCGACTCGCCGGCCGCGGGCGGCGGGGACGCGCCCATGGGCGGCTGCGACGACGAGGCGGCGTCTGTGCGCCGCGCTTGCGTCCTAGAGCTGCCCTGATTTCATATCCACATGGGCCCGGGGCTGCGTGCGGCGCCACATGGGGGGCACCATTTGGCCCTACGTGACGTGAGGCGCGGCCCCTGTTGCGGCGCGTGAGAAACCGCCGCGCCCAGGCAGTGGAAGCGTTTGGTTGCACGGCGCCGGCTCCTGCTTGGTGCTGTTCCTTGCATGTGAGGTGCGTTGGTCGCGCCCTGCATTCCTTTGGCTTTGCCACCCAGCCCGGCCCTGAAACACTGGCGGCGGGAGGCAGGGGCGCGGGCGGGCTGCGGCGGCATGCACACACGTGAGGCCATCCCACCACGACACACCTGCCCGGCGCCGCGACTGGGCCCTCAAACGGGCAGGGGGCGTCACAGCGGCCACCCTGCCCGTAAAAACCTGCCCTTCTTCTGACCCCTTGTCTGGCTGCGACGCCCCACGTTTTATGCCGGCCGCTTTGGCCGCAACTCTCGCATTCAAGGCACCACACCGGCAGCAGCAAATCACCCGAGAGAGCATCTCCCCTGCAGTTACTCTGTACCAGCAAGCTGCATGTGTTTTGTAGCGGCCCCGGGGGATTGCAGGGAAGCGCCCCCAATCAAACCGCTCCCACGCCCCAAGGGCGGCCGTCTGTCATCGCCGGCGCCCTGGGGCAGTGTCAGCCGCTCTGCATCGCATTGCATCGTATGTACACGCGACCCCCAGCCGACCCCTTGCACTGCGGGCGTTGACTGCGCCGCCTGCCTGCGGCGTCTTGCCCTGCAAGTGCAGGCGTGCTGTCATGCCACACATTTGTGCGGCGTCAGTCGTGGCGCCGCCATGCGCTCACGCACTGGCTGTGAAGCCCGCCTTGGCACTGTCGGCGCCCTTGTGTCCTTGCTTTTCAAGACCTGTAAACCACTTGCGTAGTATCCTCTACTTCGGGGAGTGGGGGCGTAGTGTTTGGGGGCATGGGGGCTAGGGAGGCGTAGGCCACCTGGGCGGTACACCTGCGGATGGTTGCTGCGCCTGCACGCAGCGTTTGCCCCGCCGCGGCGCACGGCCGGCGACAGCTCCGCGGCCGGGCCGCTTCCTGAAGGGTGACGGTGGCCCGCCATGAAAGCCTGATTTTGGGGTGGAGTGAGTGGGGGCCCCAAGGCAAACATGCTGGCATCAACACACTTGGGCTGCTTTCATGGGCATCCAGGCATGCGCAATGTTGATTGTGGCAGGGTTGGAGAGGGTTCTGAATTGGTCACCTGAGGACCAAACCCAACAGCCAGGGTTGGCACTTGCGGAGCAGCGGCCAGCCGGGTGGCACAGGCGCGACGGGGCCGCGTACCGCCAACTCTCTGCCTGCCGTTTGGAAGTTCATGGCGTTTTCGGTGTTACAACCCATCACAGTCGCCAGCTGCTGGCTCATGGCAGCAGTGTGTGCGGCTTGACCTCACCAGACAGCAGGCCGGAGCGTGCGCGGAATTGCCGACGGCAGGAATGCTGACTGCAGCGCAACCGCACGACAGGGTCTTGGTGCGAGTGATGAGTGACAAGTGTGCAATGACACAAGTAAAACATATGAATATATCCTGCAGGGTCAACGAGCAATGATACATCGTCGCGCTCAGCTGGACTGCTGTGCTCGCTCAACTACCAACATTGCTAATAGGAACAACCGCTGAGGTGGTGGCTGGTTGGCTCCAGGTGCCGTCCAGGCGGCGGCTTTTGGGCAGATTGGGGTACGCGAATGCGAGCGGTGTCAAAAACGGGTTTTAAATTCTGGTCCGCTGCGCACAAACATCCATCTGATGCGACATAATACTGCGCGACAGGAGCAGATGGGAACTGAAGCGACTAGACGCAAGCGTGCATTGGCAGTTGCAATGAGAAGAGCCTGAGCAACGCTGCACGGACAAAACTACATCAAGGGTTTGCGCTTGCAGGGGACCACCCCTCCTCCTGCGCTCTTGGCACGAGGCCGGCGCTCCCGCGGAGCGCTTCGCCGCGCTGCTGCTGCGGACAAAGACACCCGAGGGCATGGCCGAGTGGAGTTTGACAACGCCGCCTGCCGGCGGCACGCCCTCCAGCTAGCCAGCTGCCACTCTGCAACGCCATCACAGGGCCGGCCACCTGCGCCGACGTGCGATCTGCGACGAGACCGACATTGCCCAAGATCAGCTGAGATCCTGGGGCGGCAGATCTGGCACACATCTCAAGCAGGCGTGATCTAGAGCGAGCCGAGCCGGTTCCATCAGACGACGCCCTCCTTGCCCAGCGCCTTGCCCTTCACAGAATCTGACAGCTGGAAGGCGTTCTCGGCGCTTCGAGCCGGCAGCACCGCGATCTCGCATGTGGTCGCGTCGCCGCCCGGCATGAGGGCGCTCGTGAGGCGCGCGTTGCGGCGCCGCAGGACGCGATCCTACGGGGTGGAGGATGGGGGGGGG